GCCTCTTCTCTTCCTATGGGTTTCCGAAAGCAACGTTATAGCCATTTTGGACCGCCCTCAAACCCTTCTCGGCAGCTGGCAGCGCCGTTGCCCAGGCTCCAAACCCCTTTCCGGGGCCTTGGCTGCACATTCCTGCACCGCAGCCTTGCCTGCGAAGGCCGGTGTTATTCATGGTTGCTTTCTATTTCGTCCTGTCGTGCTTGCTCTCCGGAACTAGCCAGCTCTTTGTCGGGCATTGTTTTCCTGAAGGTGTGTTGTGTGTGGCCTGAATGCGCCCAAAGAGCAGCGTTGACCAGACCACACTGTGGCATGCGGGGCACCTTTGCGGATGCTGGCGTGTCTGCGCGCTAACAGCGCCTTCTTTGACGTAAAACCGGTTGCCGCAACACCCTATTTGAGAGCACGTTTGTGTTTTTTGGGGAATCCAGAGACCATGTTGCGACCGACTTCTCCAGCTCCAGCTAATCAACGGAAGATGTTTGATGGACAAAAAATCAGGCACGCCATATCTGAGACGTCTGAGACGCAGGGATCTGGATTTCTGCGGCCCCAAAATATATCCAACGAAGCAACACGACAAGGGAACCCCAAAATACCTTGAGATCTTCGGGGTACGGGTATGATATTGGATCAAGAGGCCAACTCCTGTACTGGTCGCCACAGCTAGCCTGTCCGACGCCACGCAGCCTTGGCATGGCCTAGACTGCCACATACGACCCTAACCACCGAGGCCACCCTCTTCTTTTCTAGGCTTCCAAAGCAACGGCCCCCCTCAAACACTTCTCGGCACCTCGCAGGGTGCAACCTTGGCATTGGCAACTCCACCTTTGTGGGCTTTAGCACAGGCCACAGCTAGCCTGTCCGAGGCCACGCAGCCTTGGCATGGCCTGGGCTGCCACGTACGGTGCTAGCAGCCGAGGCCAGCCTCTTCTTTTCTAGGCTCCCAGGGCGACGGCCCCCCTCAGACGCTTCTCGGCGCCTCGCAGAGTGCAACCTTATTGGCATTGGCATCTCCACCTTTGGCCTTCAGTTACACATGCTACACTCCTCTTGAAAAGGGGTCGGCGGCAACCGGGCGAAGCCCTTACAATCCGGGCGCCGGCCACGGGCCCGTGTCCTTGCCGGAGGCCTTCGGTGGTAACCGAAGGTTATATACGCTCGCCGCCCCTGCCGCCGACCCCTTTGTTGGACCCCCGGTATACCTCCGACCAACCCCTGCCCAAATCCGGTCGACAGATTTTTATGCATCTTGCGCTGGATGTTCGAAAAATGTTCAAAAACATCGTTTTTTACAGTGTTTCGTGGCCTTCGGCATCCACGACAGGGTGCCCGTGGTGTCAGTTATGCGTGCTGCGCGGACAGGCTTAATCGACATTTCGTGGGTGTTGGGCACAGAAGTTGCCTAACATCTCCCCAACATAGGCCCAAGATAGCCAACATATGCCCAACATAGCCTCCAAGATGGCTCAACATAGGGCCAACATATGCCAACATGGAGCCAACATACGCCAACATAGGCCCAACATAGGCCCAACCTAGGCCAACATAGGCCTAACATAGGCCGACCTAGGCCCAACATAGGCTCAACTTGGGCCCAAGATGTGCCCAACATAGACCACATGGGCTCAACTTGGCCCAACCTAGGGCCAAGATGCGCACCAGATAGCTCCACCAAGTCTCAAAGAGAGAGAGAGAGAGAGAGAGAGAGAAAAAAAGAGAAAGAGAAAGAGAAAGAGAAAGGGAGAGAAAGAGAGACAAAGAGAGAGAGAGACAGGACCCAGCCCTGCACATACCCAAACCCAAATAGGCCGGCGCCCGGCTGTCAGGCGTAAGCCTCATAAATCCGGGCGCCGGCCACGCGCACGTTCCCTTGCCGGAGGCCTTCTCGGTTGGTAACCGAAGGTTATATACGCTCGCGCCCCGTGCCGCCGACCCTTTTGTTGGACCTCCGGTATACCCCGTGTCGACCCCCGGTCGACCCCCGCCCGAATCCGGTCGACCGATTTATATGTATCTTGCGGAGGATGTTCAAAAAATGTTCAAAAACATCGTGTTTTACAGTGTTTCGTGGCTTTCGGCGTCCACGACTTTCGCCTAACAGGGCGCCGGTGGTGTCAGTTATGCGTGCCGCGCGGACAGGCTTAATCGACATTTCGTGGGTGTTGGGCACATAAGTTGCCTAACATATCCCCAACATAGGCCCAAGATAGCCAACATATGCCCAACATAGCCTCCAAGATGGCTCAACATAGGGCCAACATAGGCCAACATGGGGCCAACATACGCCAACATAGGCCCAACATAGGCCCAACCTTGGCCAACATAGGCCTAACATAGGCCGACCTAATCCCAACATAGGCTCAACTTGGGCCCACGCCCAACATAGACCACATGGGCTCAACTTGGCCCAACCTAGGACCAAGACGCGCCAGATAGCTTAACTTTGCTCAAGCTAGGCCCTACCAAGTCTCAAAGAGAGAGAGAGAGAGAAAGAGAAAGAGAAAGAGAAAGAGACAGAGAGAGAGAGAGAGGAGCCAGCCCTGCACATACCCATACCCAAACCCAAATAGGCCGGCGCCCGGCTGTCAGGCGTAAGCCTCATAAATCCGGGCGCCGGCCACGGGCCCGTGTCCTTGCCGGAGGCCTTCGGTTGGTAACCGAAGGTTATATACGCTCGCCGCCCCTGCCGCCGACCCTTTTGTTGGACCTCGCGTATACCCCCGCCCGACCTGAGGTTAAATCCGGTCGACAGATTTTTATGTAATTTACAGTGTTTTGTGTGTGTGATGTACACAAAACACTGTGTTTTACAGGGTTTTGGGCCCCTCGGCGGCCGAGAATTTCATCTTGGAGATGTTAAAAACGTAGGTTTTTCCATGGTTTTTGCTTTGCGGGACGGAAAAAGCGTAAAAAGTTGTATCGGAAGATTTTTTTGAATATAAACTGCGTAAAATCTCCCTAACATAGGCCCAACATAGCCAACGTATCCCCAACATATGCCCAACATAGCCTCCAAGATGGCTCAACATAGGGCCAAGATAGGGGAACATGGGGCCAACATACGCCAACATAGGCCCAACCTAGGCCAACATAGGCCTAACATAGGCCAACCTAGGCCCAACATAGGCTCAACTTAGGCCCAAGATGTGCCCAACATAGACCACACGGGCCCAACTTGGCCCAACCTGGGACCAAGATGCGCACCAGATAGCTTAACTTTCCTCAATATAGGCCCCACCAAGTCTCAAAGAGAGAGAGAGGGAGAGGGAGAGAGAGAGAGAGAGAGAGACAGAGAGAGATACAGGAGACAGAGACACACAGAGAGAGGAGAGGGAGAGAGAGAGAGACACAGGACCCAGCCTTACACAGACCCCACAGACCCAAGTGGGCGGGCGCCCGGCTGTCAGGCGTAAGCCTCATAAATCCGGGCGCCGGCCACGGGCCCGTGTCCTTGCCGGAGGCCTTCGGTTGGTAACCGAAGGTTATATACGCTCGCCGCCCCTGCCGCCGACCCTTTTGTTGGACCTCCGGTATACCCCCGGTCGACCTCAGGTTAAATCCGGTCGACAGATTTTTATGTCATTTAACTTTTATCTACCAGCATGATTGCGCATGATGTGGAAAACATCGTTTTTTACAGTGTTTCGTGGCCTTCGGCGGATATGACTTTCGCCTAACAGGGCGCCGGCGGTGTCGGTTATGCGCGCCGCGCGGACAGGCTTAATCGACATTTCGTGGGTGTTGGGCACAGAAGTTGCCTAACATATCCCTAACATAGGCCCAAGATAGCCAACATATGCCCAACATAGCCTCCAAGATGGCTCAACATAGGGCCAACATATGCCAACATGGAGCCAACATACGCCAACATAGGCCCAACATAGGCCCAACCTAGGCCAACATAGGCCTAACATAGGCCGACCTAGGCCCAACATAGGCTCAACTTGGGCCCAAGATGTGCCCAACATAGACCACATGGGCTCCACTTGGCCCAACCTAGGGCCAAGATGCGCACCAGATAGCTTAACTTTGCTCAATATAGGCCCCACCAAGTCTCAAAGAGAGAGAAGCGAGGGAGAGAGACAGAGAGAGAGAGAGAGGACCCAGCCCTGCACACACCCAAACCCAAATAGGCCGGCGCCCGGCTGTCAGGCGTAAGCCTCATAAATAATGTCTGAACAATGTGATCAGTTTCTTCTGTCTTTTGGTCGTAAGTTTATGCACACAAAACTATCAAGAAAAAGGAAATTGCTTGTAGTTGTAACTACTTGTTGATGAGTTTCTGCGTTGGCGTTAGAGAGATTGTCTTTATTCTTGGTAAGTTGTTTGACAGGCTAGTGGGAAGTTGATAATTCATTGCAACGTCGCACGAAATCTGACACTAAGCCTCTAAGCTGTCGGCATCCAAAACTATGCGCTTCAACCAGCTGCACATGGGAGTGTGCACAAAGATTGGTCTGCCATAGGCACGCCTAGCACACATCCAATGCTACAAAAGAGGCCTTTCCAGAGCCTGCCCAGCAAATGACAAGCTAAAATATAGCGCAGGAAAGTACCTTTTCTATTCTTGTCTTGTTCCCCATCTGTCAGGTGAGTCGCCGTGTTCCCCGCCGGACCTGAACCGGGAGGGTCGCGTGGCAGTGTTCCCCGCCGGGCCGCAGTGTTCCCTGCCGGAGCTCAAACGCCAGCCTCAAACGCCGGACCACAAACACACAACCACATCACACCACCACAAACATACGACCAGAAACACAACCACGACACACAATCACAGCACACCACACAAACGAAGTCGAGATCCGCAAAACTCACGACCATGGCAACATGCTCCTCACCATGGCATGAAGACAAATGATTGATTTGTCATGGTGGGGATCACTCGTAGAGTATTTTTTCGCAAAGGTTGTGAAAAGTCATGGTGGGGGACCCTTCCAAAAGGGAACAGACAAACCAGCACGCACCACTGCATCATGAAGCATATTATGTACTGGGGTCCATGCTGGCTACTTCCATCCATATCCAACAGGAAGCGCTGTTGAAGTTGCTCCTGAAGGTGAAGACACTAAAGAGAGTGTGCGTGTGTGCATGTGGCTACGTGCTTTTAGTCATTGGTAAATCACCTTGGTTGGATGTAAGAATGAATCTGTATCTACACCCATTTGTATGTGGATATATATAGATATGTATATATATATATATGAAGGGTCTTGGGTTCTTGAGTCTGTTTCGAGAATCTCCAACTGGTCAATAGGAACATGGCGCTAGGAGATCTTTGTACGAGTGTGAACCATATCAATCTCATGATCATTGCTTGCATTGAGCTCTACTATTCTTGAAGAGGTTGAGAATTCGCCGTTTCCACTTTGCCTTTTACATACTGACCTTGATTCCATTCTACTCCTCTCTCCTCAATGCTTACCTCTCGAGGGCTTTCATCCAGCACACCAAGCCTGGCGACGTAACATCTTTTGGAATGCTTGAAGACAGCCAACACTTGTAGTGCAGAATGCATCGTCATAAACCATCCAAGACCAACCGACTGTTGTTTGTCACGTGGTCTTCCATGCAAAATAAGTTACCCCACAAACATACATCAGAGACCCATCGGCTGCAAAAGGAAAATGCTCTTCCAGCTGAGTCCTGACGGGTCCCAAAACGCTAAACCTCTGATGCTCCCCTCTTCTAAGCTCTTTTCGAAGCGACAGGCAGCGACAGGGGCGTTGCACCTAATCACCGACAGGTCATGTCAGAGTCTGCAACCAAAGAGCGGCCTTGAGGCCTTTCATCTCATTCCCCAAATTGGTTTATTTGGTGTTGAATTCGAGAAGCTCTACGGCATGGACCTGCACGGATCTGATGTGCAACTGAAAATCACTCAGGGACTCCATGGACTTTAGTCACATGGAGTAAAAAAGGCTGAGCGACGTCGCAAAGTCGCACGTGAGGTGAAACTTGCTTTAAAGGAATCTTCTACTTTGTGGGCACGTGCACAGCCGGAGATGGAATGCTGGAATGCCCGATCTCCAGCCCTGATCTAACATGATTTCGGTCTACCAGTGTCGGGCCGTTGCCAGAATAAATCTAGGCAATCGAGCGCCTAGGCGGTAGAACCAGGGAATGATAGAAATACCGTACACTACTGTACAACAGTGGCTGATGCATGCTAATGCTTGGGATTTCAAGATTCAACATGATGAGCCTGCTGAATCCCTCAGGCACAGCAGCAGCTTAGGCCGATGACTGGTCAATGACTGGTCACTCTGGCATGCAGCCTGGAGCCCGGCCTGAAAGGTGAGGACTGGGAGTTGGACTGGGTGGACTACCTGGGCTGGATGTCATCGGCGTGACCGGTGTGACACTTCGATCTGGGCGCCGCCCCCAGCGGCAGTCCTCGAGCTGCATATCTGTTCGTGTCGACCGGGAGAAGAAGCTCAGAAAGCGTTTGGTGTAGCTTTGAGATCTCATGGATGGTGAAGTGACACTCTCATTGCTACGGCTGCTTCGAACACTGCTCTTCTTGGTCATGAGATTTCTGCCGAAGCTGACCGAGTGCGAGGAGGTACCTGGACGGGCAGACCAGACCTGGTTGGTCTTGGTAGATTGGCTAGATCAAAAAGGAAAAGACAGCGTCTCTATGTGGTCTCGTCTAAGACATATAGTTGGACATACAGCAAGTGTCTTCGAGCAGATCTCCTTGAATTGTCTGGACATTGTCTGGACCACGTCAGCTGTCCTGTTCTGAAGGACTGCTCCCACAATCAACAGCTCGTTCTAGGGACTACTAGTGTCTCAATATGGCTCTTCGACCAAAACCTGACCGGTGGCGGGTGCTAAATAATCAAAAGATGTGAAGATTTCACAGGCCAACAGCAGGACACCTGGCCTCTGGTCTCCGCTTCACTGACCAGCATTGACGCTTTGCCTTCTGGCTCCTCTGGGTATAGCTCACGCTTTGGCAAAGGGGCCTCTGGTCTCACAAGGCTTGGGTTCAAGTGGCTCTCCAACTCGTCATAGAACTCCTTGGATTCACGTGGAGACTTGCCGAAGAGTGCTTTGGGGCGGCCCAAGTACGCTTGGATCACATCTTCCTCAGAAGGCGAGTCAGTCGTATAGCGAGTCAGTTTTGGAGATGTCTTTTTGGGGCGAAGACCCGTGTTGAAACGTATCCAAAAATCTGAAATCTGGCACTGGGAGGGTCTAGATGTCTGGGGTCCCAGTTCAGCAAACTGTTTCTATAGCGAGATCAGATATGAATTACAAAGACAGCTATGAAAAGTTTGAAGCATCTAAGCGCCTTGACAGGAAAGGGCGGCAAGGAGAAAATGTGTGTCCTTCGCCAATACTACACCCTCATGGAGGGGGTCATATCAACTGAACAACCAAAAATGTTTGCAGCGCATCCAAGTTGTCCTTCAGCTTTCGTAGTCCGGTCACTTTTGCCCTGCTGTAAGCTGCACTTTCCTCCTCCCCGTAGCCCTCAAGCGATGCTGCAACACTTTCTAAGAGTTTGCAAAGTTGCTCAAGAACCTCAGGGTGGGTTTCATAACCTTGCACATTCAAACATACAAACCAACTTATTGGGGATCAAACATGGAAACCTACAAGAACCGACTAGCCTGGCCTCTGTCTGCAATGTGCACTCCTCAAATTTTAGGTTTATGCGAAAAAAACTTTGGGAGTTCTGCACCATGATGGTTGCGATGAGGTCCCCTTGCTCCTCAAAAGGAAGGCTCATTGCTCCCACGACAGCCGCGAGTGGCTATTGGAGGCTTTGAGCTCAAGGGCACAACTCGGTCCACTTCGAGGCACTGTGACGGTCACTCTTTTCTACTAGCTAACCTTGTTACTACTAGTAAGGCACTTGTTACTACCTCCAAGGAACAACCCGGCAGGTTGTACCCCATTTTCTCCAGACCTTTGAACAAAGGGGTTCTTAGGGTGAGACTAAGGTCGTACGCTTCCCGTGCGTGCTCTCTCTCTCTCTCTCGCGGGTGTGTGTGTGTGTGTGTGTTCTCCCGCAGGGTCTCCACACACTTGTGTGTGTGTGCACTTGGCAGGCGCAGCAGCGCGTGGCTGATCGTGAAGTGCAAACTTAATGCGAGGCAAGACACCTGTCGGATCTGGAAGTGCAGACTTTGTGGCTTTGTGGCAAGCACGGCACTTTGTAAACATATGTAAACCTTAAAATGCATATTTGGACTTTGATTTGACTCATGTGTGGGTGATCTCATGCACGTGCTCTTATGTTTGCGCTCTCATCTGTGTGCTCTTATTTATGTGATCTAATCTATGTGTTTCATTGTGCTTTTATATTTGCGCTCTCATCTGTGTGCTCTAAAATCTGTGTGCTCGCATACCTGTGTGCGCTCTCCTGCGTGTGCTCTGATGTGTGTGTGTGTGTGTCCTCTCATACGTGAGTCCTCTCATCATGTTCGCTCTCAATTGCGCGTTCTCATATGTGTGCGTGTGTGCTCTTATACGTGTTCTCGCCATCACATATGTGCGTATGTGCTTTCACATATGCGTGCTCTCATATGATTCATATATGTTTGGTTGACAAAAAGGGTGCTTGGGTATATCCCATTACCAATACTGTCCTTATTAAGATTGAATATGTGGTCCAAGCAAACGGCTTCTAGCAATCAAAAGCCACCAGCGCCACGCTAGCGCCTAGCTTGTGTTTTCAAGAATTCTCTTGCATGCGGCTTCATAATTTGCTACCATCGCAAAATAGTGTTGCCATTTCGTATAGACTCCTTAGCCTCGACTTTTGGCATCCAAGCAAGCGTGTGCTCTTCCTGTCTGCTCTCACATGTGACTTCTCATTTTGTGTGCTCTCATATGTGCCACTAGGGCTCCCCACCTTCGGTACACTGCGTCCAAGCCTGGGAGGTGCTAAGTCATCTGCCAGAGCTGATTACAAGAACCTCATCGACACCACATAGTGTTTTCTAGGTGCGTCAACTCACCTTTCGAAGCTGTGGTGTTTAAAGTTGAAAGCCGTGTCTCGTTCCCGTTTGGACACATCGACCATTTGTCGAACTGCTGTCCACTGCGAATCAATGTCGGAATCGTGGGCGAATCAACTGGAAACGCGAAAAGTCAGATGTGGCATGTTGAAAGTTCCTGGAACACACAAGCAACACATGGCACACATGTTCTTCCATGTATTGCAACATGTGGTGCCACAAGTCCCAGTAAAGTCCCAGTGCCACGTGATCTACTGATCAACATCTGCAACAACAAACCATCCACAAATGGCAAAGGAGTTATGGCTATCTGGCACTGTCGTAAACTTGGCACCCTGACCGATGGCCACTGCGCGCTGCTTTACGCCTCTGTGGCCAGGATCGAACCCCATCTTTGAGAACCCCAAACCGAAACAAGTGCGCACTTTGCGCAAATAATGAAACTCAAATCTCTTAATTTTGTATTGCTTTCTTACGATGTCTGGGTGGTGTGTCTGTATATATACACCCATATTGGAATCAAATGTCGTCTGTACACATTAATGCTAGTTGTTGTTTTGTACTTGTTTGCAGGGGAGTGCGACATGATAGTGGTACCGCACTCAACGAAGCTACCACAATCATGGGATACCAAGTCTGATCAACTCAACAAACCTGCACAGGAAGTTGTGAATGTTCTAGCCATTCTCCACTCGCAAAGGTCTTCAGGCTGCAGGTTGGTACAGGTCTGCAAATATGCGTTCGCTCGCTAGTAGTAGCTTCTTGTTCTTAATAGTAATGCACTCGTACTAGTAGCGATGCACTTGCTACTAGTAGCGGTGCACTTGTTACTACTAGTACCGTTGAACTTGATGATGAGACTTTGGATCTTTTGGCACCTCTTACCTTTTTTTGAGATTCCTCGGTGGTTGCCCATTAGGCCTTTTGATGTCTTTTGGTTGCTTACGTGTCTTCAGGGCTTGGGGCATTCGTCGTAGGAAAACCAATATGTTGTCTGTTTGTGTGTGTGTGTGTCTATGTGCTATTGACAGTATTCTGAAAAACATCAGTGGAAGGTAAAGGAGTGCTGGAATGTCTAAACTCTTGACAAGTGTGCAGCAGAACTACTACTGCCGTCCAACGACATCTCATGTTGCACCTCAAATTGTCTTGTGGCTCTGCCACGTAGCGCTGGCCCCATTCATTCGATATTGATAAACAAATTATATATATATATACCATTGTAAACCTAACCTATTATAACCTATACAAACATGTACAAGCCCACATGGACCCCGATGTGCATGCATGTCGTGATTTTGCCAGGCGGATTCTGCGGTTTTGGATCCCATTTGATCCCATATGGACCATCAGTGAATAGAGCGAAACCTTCTGCCTGCCTTTCCGCCATGACCTTGAGGACTCATCACAGTCAGAGTCCCACATTCACCACCAGACTCTGAGGGTGTTCAAGGATCTGAAGCGATTGGCACCGGCCCTGTCCGCCCGGCACGCGCACCCCACTCCTCGCCTGAAAGGCTGGCGTCGATCCGTCGAGGGAGCTGTCGCGACATCCGCGAGACCTTGAGACCTCAGAGGGAAGTCCCCTGTGGTCGCCCGAGGTCCATTGGCGGTCAAGCTAGCGCACGACAGTGGCAAGTGGCGTGCAATTTGCACGGCCATGGATCAATCCCGTGTCTGACGGATTGAGGCCAAAGCAGGATCGAATCAAAACACCAAGCCCCAAGTTAGAACTTTGGGGAATCCTGTCTTGATGCATGCAAGTGACGTTTCATAAGCATAGGCGTTTTTGACTAGTCTGGTGTACAGTTCTGCCTACAGTCGCATGGTCACTGGCTTGCCTGGGACTACACCTGGCCAGTAGTAGCTCAATCGAACATCTCAAAATGTGCACTGCATGACTGTCCTCTCTCAGCTGCCCGCGTGAGAAGTAGCGAAGAGTGGAGTTGTCCACCTCAAAATTGCGGTGCCAACGGGAATTGATAATGGCACTGCCCCAGGTGAATAGCGCATGGCACGCGCGTTCTTCGCGAACATCGGCAGTGTCGGTGATCTTGGTATGTACAGTATCTTGACCGGTTCTAACAGGCCTGTGATGGGGGTCGCGGGGCCACGAATGTCTAGCAGCCCAGACGAATCAAAACTCAGAAGACATGGTATATAGAAGTATCTACAGCGATTGTTCTTGAGCTTCTGCTCTGGACATTGGCTCTATCAAACGAAAGAAACGGGGAACAAAAAAGAACTAAAACCCCCCTAAGCCTTGAGTTCTGGTAGGTCTAGTTCCCGCTTCCCGTATAGCGATTCTATGAACATGAATTCAACACTTGCCTTTTCTAGCAAGGACGCTACGAACGGAGCAAAGGGCATCGCTACTAGGAACAAAGGGCCTTACTATTAGGAACAAGAAGCTAGTAGAAACAAGGGCATCGCTGCTAGCAACAAGAAGCTACTAGGGGCTCCTGGCCTCGCTACTAGGAACAAGGACGCTATTAGGGGCTCCTGGCCTTACTACTAGTAACAAGAAGCTACTAGTAACAAAACCCTCTTACATCCTCTGGCCAGAGCGACTCTGCAAGTTGGGTAGCAGACATGGCAGGCCACATGCACTTGAGGATCACAGTCCTCAACGGCTAGGCGAGTGCACTCGAAAAAGAGGAGCACCTGTGGTGTCCCTTAAGAGGAAGTTCGGTTCATGAAGGTGTACAGCATGTACAGTAGTTCAAAAAAATAAACTGCCAAAATTGTCTATATATAATTAGCCCAGCTGGAGACCCCAATAGCAAGATACAAACCAGGACAAAAAGAAAAATCTGGAAACAGCTGCTGTTTTCAACACATCGACCATCTCTTCCTTCATCAAAACATAACCGAGACACCGTCACAACATGATTGGGACACCATCACAACATAACCGGGACACCATCACAAGGTGACCGGGACACCAGCATGACATGACGGGGACACCATCACAACATGACCGGGACACTATCACAACATGACCGGGACACCGTCACATGACCCGGACACCATCAAAGCATAACCGGCACACCGCCAAAACATGACCAGGACACCATCACAACATGACCGGGACACCATCAAAACATGACCGGGACACCGTCACAACATGAGCGAGACACCATCACAACATGACTGGGACACCGTCACAACATGACTGGGACACAATCACAACATGACCAGGACACCATCACAAGGTGACCGGGACACCAACATGACATGACGGGAAAACCATCACAAGATGACCAGGACACCATCACAACATGACCGGGACACCGTCACATGACCCGGACACCATCAAAACATAACCGGCACACCGCCAAAACATGACCAGGACACCATCACAACAGGACCCGGACACCGTCACAACACGACCGGGGCACCATCAAAACATGACCGGGACACCATCACAACATGACCGGGACACCTTCAAAACATGACCTGGACACCATCAAAACAGGACCGGGACACCATCACAACATGACTGGGACACAATCAAAACATGATCGGGACACCATCACAACATGACCGGGACACCAACACATGACCGGGACACCATCAAAACATGACCGGGACACCATCACAACATGACCGGGACACCATCAAAACATGACCGGGACACCATCAAAACACGACCGGGACACCATCACAACATGACTGGGACACAATCAAAACATGATCGGGACACCATCACAACATGACCGCGCCACCATCACATGATCGGGACACCATCAAAACATGACCGGGACACCGTCACAACACGACCGGGACACCATCAAAACATGCCCGGGACACCATCACAACATGACCGGGACACCATCACAACATGACCGGGACACCATCACAACATGACCGGGACACCATCAAAACAGGACCGGGACACCATCACAACATGATTAAGTCACAATCAAAACATGATCGGGACACCGGGACACCAGCATCACATGACCCGGACACCATCAAAACATGACCGGGACACCATCCGCCCACCAGCTCTGACGGTGACCCGACGGCGCCCGTCCGCCTATTAGTTTTGCAAGACCCCATAGCATGGCTATTGGGGAATAACAAATATGTGTTGAATCCCGAATTACAATGTTAATAAAACATGAAATCAACTTTGAAGGGTACTCTCTCAGCCGAAGGTCTTTTTCTTTCCCTGCCTGTGCTGGCACCGCACTGTCAGTGCCTAGAGCTGGCCGCTCTGCGTTAGCAAAGACAAATGAAAAACCATGGCTTAAATGGTTGAAACAAAATAGGTCTCTCGCAAGCTGTTTCAACCATTTCATCCTTATGAGCCAGCTAGGACATGGTGAATCAGGCAATTGCCTGATTCACCATGTCCTAGCTGCGGAACCTTTCGCTCATGGCCGAATTTGCGTGGTGACGCTTCTTCATGACGCTTGCTCTCATCGGTAGATGGTGTAGCAAAGCGGAGACTGTTGGAGGTGTTTCACAGAAATGGTAGGAATCAGTCACAGTCCGCCACGTCTGAGGTTCGTCATCCAGTCCGCCACGTCGCCTCTCCAAAAAACCCGCTGCCCACGCTTGCCGTCGTAGGTCCTCGCACCTGGTTCCAAGATAGCAGACCGTCAGGAAATCAAAGGAGATGCGCCTATTGGAGAAATGTTTGAAAGGCAAAGTTGTAAATGAGGATTTGATGAAACTGGTACAGTAGATCTTCATTACCAGTGGTCAGACCGCTATATAGATCTCCGGAAGGTCAATAGGTTCAAGGTCTGCCAAGACTTTGGACTTTTTCCGTGTCGCTCAAACTATAGACTATAGAGCTTCGGAGAACAAACACATGAGTCCCACGTAGAAGAGATTTGTTGGCACTGCAAAACCGTATTATACAAGCAACTCGTGTGTATTATATATATATACATATATCCGTCCGTAGACAATCTAGAATCAAGTCCCACACCGTCATTGCTCAAGACCAGCTGTTCCACCTGGCTGCAGCTCCAAAACGAAAGATTCTATTGCTACGGAGTAACTAAGCACTCCACACAAGATGAGGAGTGGCTTACTTGGCATGGACAGCTCACAAATAGTGGACAAGGAAGAAAAGAATCGCCCTCTTGCCCAAAGCTTGCCAAAACTTATCACCCAAAGAATTCCTCCACTGACTTGCAATTCTCTAAGATCCCCACTTTCGACAAACAACTCCCTCCCAAAGTGCCGCCTTCCGGCTCCAAGAACCATCAAGCTGTTCCCACCTTACACTAGATGCGACTCTACAAATCTGGGTTGTCAAAAGCAACCTGCGACTCTGCGAATTACACATATGGTGGCTGATCAATATTCTTTCATCCTGGAATGGCCATTCATCGCGGAAAAAAGGATATCTTTCGCGGATCTTTCGCGGCCTCATCGCGAAGCACGATCCTACAACCATGTCTAGCTAACATGAGCCGGAACACGTCATAATAGGGAGAGACGTCTTGCAGCATGACCCCAGTAGATGGTTGAACGTTTGCACAGCTACTCAGGGTCACTTGCAGCATCTGTGCGACAATTGTGCCAAATAGAGTCAGGCACAACTCAACCCAATCCTCGTGTCAGCTACCAACACAGGGTGATGCAGCTTGGGGAATGTTGGGGGCCTCAAGCTGGGAACCTAGACTTTAGCGGCACATTCGCGAAGCTTTCGCGGATCTTTCGCGAAATTTCACTGGTGCTTTCCCCGGGACGCCGTAACATTTGCAAACATCTGCACAGCCCGTCAGAGCAGCGGCAGGTCGTTGCCTCACTGTCAGGGCTGCGCCTACCCAGCTTGCTAGTATGTGACAGTGGGGACAGGAATCGGAGAATCCTTTACGCACTGCCAGGGCTGGGCACGGAAAGGTTGAGGCTTCAGTTCGTTAGTCTGTGACATGGGGACACTTCGCCCACTGGCTCTGCCGGAGGATTGCCTTGCGTTTCTATTCTTTGTCAGTCCGGTAGAAAGGAAAACAATGAAAGCGATGACCTTCGATAAATCTTTCGCGGAAAAAAAAGATACTTTCGCGAACCTCATCGCGAATCTTTCGCGGATGGTTCTAACAACATCTGAAAGGCTGTTTTATATAAAACTCCTTACACGGGGTTTTCGATCAACTCCCATGTCCCTTGGGAAATACCAACAATGAAGGCTCATTTCACTACAATGGAGCGCATGAATTTCACCATCCACACTGTGGGTGCTTGGTTTTGGAGGCTTGTGCAAACATATCATGGTTGGTGCCTACTTGATCTCTAGAATTCTGGATATCAGGCGTTCAAGTTTTTGCTCGCCTTCTTCTGGCACCATTTTGACTGACAAGACCCCAAGTCACTCAGTCGTCTCCGTCGCTCAGCAAGGCGCATGGGCACCCGGATCACACGCCGTGTGGCCTGCGGAATGTTGGCAGGGAAGTCGTTGACTTCGGACAATCCACCACATACGTACCCAATCACAGTGAACACTAAACTTCCAAACACTATAACTTGGAAAAAAGTCGCGGTTGAGAAGACCCATTTTTTCAGTTGAATCGAACAATCCCAAATCACTGGAATTAAGGACTCGAAAGTTGCAAGCCAAGGATATGTATTGGTCCTGGTCACCTGGCACCCTGTCTTTCGGTGTGCTTGAGTTGGAGGGTCTCCAATCGCCCCACGAATATATAGATGCTGAAAACGCATCTCTCCAGTTTTAGTGCCATCCAAATTTGCAAAGCAGGATATCTCCATATATCTCCCACAAATTCTTCAAAGCTTTCTCTTAAATGGCCTTGCCCCTTTGAAAGGTCAGAACCGGCAGCTTCAAGTCATGCCACCTGGCAGCACATCCAGTCAAAAAGAACATCGACCTCGAATCAGTTCCACTACAAAATCGAGGTCCGAAAAAAGAGAAGTGCCAACATGGCCTCTGTTCCCATCTGTTCCTCTGGTCAAGCAGATCGGATGGTCAGCATATGAAATAAGTGCAAAAACCGATGCAACATCCCAAGCATGCCGGCAGTGGCTCAATGTCTGAATGTGAGAGGACAAAGTTCACCTGGCGCGTCACCCTTCGGCGCACGAGGCTCTCGGTCACCCTTAACCGTGCCTGGCAATGCGAAAGAATGCGAAAGAGGTTGTACTGACCATGAAGGAAGCATGGTGAGGGTGCGGGTAAGAGAATGTCCACATGTGCCAAACCTCAGAAACTCATGTGGCGTGGAACCGCCCTCGCAGATGTCGAAAACCATAGAATACGATAGGGAGACTTTGCAAATGTTCTGCCTTTGCACTCAAAGCTGCAAACACAAAGCCAGTGCCTCAGCCCGTGCACACACGAAAAATCACCACGAACAGCCCATCACCATGGGGTGATTGAAAAGCTGCATGCCTAGATAGCGCATGGGCGGTTTTTTTTGTCTATTTTCCTTTCAGGTGGCAGTATGGCAGAAAGGCTCCAAAGAATCTCTGCTGGCAGCGGACGAGTCTTGTGATTCGCTGCGGGTGAATTCGATCCGCCCAAACTACTGTGGAAGAGATCCGAGTCCACAGTACTCGCTTCTACGGACAGTCATGTCAGTCCTGTGGCGGTGTTCATGCGAGATCGACAGAATCGATACAGTACTTGGGGCAAATCGGGAGGTGATCAATCGATCGAACCTGAAATCGAACTGCGAGGGTGCGCCTCGAAGTTGGGGGCCCACAGATCTGCTGACAGAAAAAACAAAACATACCATAAAAACAGGCGTGTGGCCTGTCATCGGTCCACAGAATCAAGCGTGTCATCCATCATGGGCCCCCACTTCGGACATCCCCACATTTCAGGTCCAGGGGACACTGCGCGGGCACATCACTTTTCCTCTTCTTCCTGGCAAGGAGCGGGTAGCAAAGCTTATGCTCTGCTTAGCTTGGCAGGGGCATACCACTTGTATCCAGCTCCAGCTTCTTGAATCAGAGGGATGCCACGGATTGCGGATGCCTGATTCATCCTGATTCTATGTTCCATGACACGCTTATCTTGTTGAAATGAACATTATTGTGAAAGAGTTCAGAGCGATGGCAGCGTGTGGCGTTTGAACTCCAAAAGATCAGGACCACATGCATAGGACAGGAGATCAATTGAGCAACATGTTCTCTGTCCCGTGCTTCTTGGACAGTCAACTTTATCCATTCTCACTTCCAGGTCCTTGTCTTAGGATCTCAAACAGTCTCAGAACGGGCGCCTCCACCTGTACCATCGCAGAGTAGTGGCCGTAGCCATGGAAAAGGACACGAATCCTCTCTGTCTTCAAGTCCTGTGAATACAGAGAAAATGAAACTCCGGCAGGGTTGGGCGGGTTGGGCAGCCCATGGCTTTTACGGAGTATATAATATACATGTGAACAAATGGTTTGAGTTTCCATGTTGGACATAGACCAAGTAGAAGTGCGAGTGCACGGGTCACATGGCAAAGACTTCGCAAAGACCAACCTGCAAAAGCTGGTCAAAAACTCTCAGCATCTCAGCAGCACGGCAAAAAGAATGAAAAGTTTAAGCCTAAGCCGGTCCAAGCCTCAACCTCCAAAAAAACAGATCTTAATGATCTTGTATTATGACCCGATTCGCAGGGTCGTTTGTCTCTTCACGTCGGGGTGGCTCTGTCCTCTCCGTAAGTTTGGACTTTCTTCAGATCAGGTGTCAGCATATACACCTGGCAGGTGCATCGAGAATATGATTTAAAACATATATATATATATATGATCCCACTTCGTTCCCATGCCAGTGAAGCCGCGCCCTTTTCGAG